CCAATTGGCAAAAATCTCTTTTAATATTAAGATACATATGTTTGTTTCATGGTAGGAATAGACATACATGAAATGTCGGTAGGTTTAGTGTTAAAAGTGTTTGAAAAACAATAGCTCGGAGAGTCTATTGGATTGTAACCACTTATTTGCATATAATTTGTAACAAAATGACACATGTAAAATTGCTTGGCTTAGAAATCATTTAACAAAGTTCTATTGAAGCTGATAAGTTAAAATTAACTGGGAAGAATTTTTGCAGTGAATATTTCCACGATAAATCCATAATTCTACGTACTTGTACTATATCAGATATACTGATATCTGTTACTTAGTATATAAGAAGAAGGATTTTAATTTCAGCCTATAATATTATGTGTCTTCAAAGTCAGTACCTGTACTGGTAAGTATTTTGATACTAACAAGTATCAAAACAACTTTCATTGATCTTTAGCTTAGATAAATATAATTTATTCAAAAATTCATTTGTATTTTTCTATACCCATCTTTTGCTTTCTCTTTTTTTTACATCAAATATAAGTTTGGAAATAAGTATTTTATGAAGCTACCACATTTGTCCATTTTGTATTCTTTGTACAAATTTATTAATCCTTTGCACTTATAAATTTTTTTTTAAATATTTATCAGCTACCTTGAGTACAATTTTTTTAAAATTTATATTTTTTAGATTTCATTCAAGTCAAAATTATTATATTAGTTTTATTACCTTTTGTGTTAGAGATTATAATTTATCTGTATGGATTAAAAACAACTTTTCTAGTTATTTTTTTCTGCTTGTCATGCATTTCTTACTCATAACTTTATTAGTACAATTATTCTTACAAAATAGAAATTTAATGGAGGAAAGTTTTCCTTATTTGAAATAAGAAAATAATCATTTGTGTTGCAATGCCCATTTTTTAGCTGACATCCAAGTACAAAAGATTAATAAATTTTCAATCATTTGTCGATAAAAAAAATATATATTTTATGGAAAATACAGAAAAATAATCATTAAAAAGTACACACCGATTTTAATCATTAATAACAACAAAAATACGAATGAAATGATTTAAATTTCAAGAGACACGTACTAACTGATGATTTTATTTTCAGACATACAGGGTGTATCTTCTAACAAGATATTAACTTTTGATCGGTTTAAGATGACATATTATTGACATGAATATACAAAACCTTTGAAGGCTTTTCCCTTTTTCCCTTTGACTAGCCAGCTTGCATTAATATTTTAATCCGGGAACAGCTTAAAAGTATACTACTAATATATTAATTCTTATACCGATCAAAAGTTAATTTCCTTGTAAATTAGATTACAATATCTATTTTAAAGTTGTAAATGTTTTTTTCGCCTACAACTGTATTAATTCTCCAAACGTCAAAGAAATTTCTCACTCCACTCATAACCAGCTATATGTATTTTAACATCTGGAAGGAACAAGAGCATATAAAAAAACCAGTGAGTACCATAATAAATATGGCTTTTTTTATCGATAAACAACGAATAATCAGGCATAGTTTACGTGATCATCAAATATATTATGAGATAGCATCAAATAAAAGTTTGTATCTTATCGCAATAAGATTTAATTTCTGCGACTTAACTTTTGTTGAAGTGTTTGTTTGTTTGTATTTTATTTTGTTTTTAGAAATACGTGTTACTATAATTTTTAGTATAAATATCTAATTAAAAATTAAGGAAAGCTAAAGATTTTTTCTAATTTTTCTTTGGTTTATAATACGTGCACTAACGCATGCGCATTCGTATCAAAGAATACAGTATTTTTTGCCCCATTACCTTTAGCCCTAACTTCCTAACTTGACTGTATAAAAATGGCTGGTATCACGTTATAAGTATTCACATTTGTTATTCTTCTTTTACTTCTTCCTAATTAACTTTTTCTTCTATTTCTATTGCATTAAATTCAATTACTTAAATCTGATATTCTACTTTCGTTGTGATCATTTGTGTGCATCAGTAAAGTACGTTTGTATATAATAATAGTGAATACCATAAACAAAAACATACAAGCATATATTGTAATGGCTGAGTTTCATTCGCGTCGTTTCGTAATATATATACAAAAGTTACACGCACTCGTTTCGGCTTCTATTTGTATTCTGGAACTTTTTTAAATGGCTGTACAGAAATAGCGTGTATTATATTATAAATATTTCCATTTCTATGCTTTTTTTATTTCTATCGAATTTTTTTTCATTATACTCTTCATTTTATTTTCATTGCAATAAATTCAATTATTTTCATCCGATCTTCTTTTTCTTTTCGTGTGATTATTTGTGTGCATTAATCATATAAGTTTGTACAGAATATTGAAATATTGTGAAAGGAATACAAGTATGTCGTCGTATCGAGAACGTATTAATTTCTTTGTTAATAATCATTAGCTTTAAGGATTGATAAATAAAGCGAATTACGACTGTATTTTAATTATAAATTATATTGCTGAATGATAAGGGATAATTTTTTTTCTGTTTATATTTTCATCAATCGATTCAGTACAATACAAAATAATCTACGTATTATCGTTTCGTAAAAGCAGCCGCACCTTTTTCTTTTTATCAGATCAGATATTCTTATCATACGATCTTATCAATTTATTTGACTATTGTTTTATGACCTATAAAAGGCCTTTTCAGCCTAATAATTTACGATATCTATCTTTCATTGTTCGTTAAAATCATGCATCTGTTACTAAACATATTTTCGCATGGATCCTAGAAGTTGTACTTAAAATTATTATCGCATGACTATCTCCAAAATGTCGTCATTTGTTTTAATTATCATTTATATAATATTTAACCATTATTGAAATACATTTTATTTATTTGCTATTCTATTTGTTTATTGGTATTTTTCTTTTTTTTCTTTTAATACAGATTTGAGAGAGAGTTGAATTACACTTTAAAGGCTAATATAAACAATTCATTTATAAGGATGTTAACCTTAAACAAGATTGATTCAAACTGTTTTCTACAATCTAAAGAACCACAGAGTTTGAAAGTATTATCACCATCACCGACGCCACCTCCACTTACCATAATAACAGAAGAAAGAAAAGCAAATAATCAAGACTATAGGTTTGAAACGATCAGATTACAAACTTTTGAAGATTGGCCAGTAAATTTTATAGATCCTAAGGATCTTGCAGCAGCTGGATTTTATTATTTGCATACAGAAGACAAAGTAAAATGTTTCGAATGTAAAATAGAAGTATATAATTGGGAAGAAGGAGATGTACCTATGAGAGATCATAAACGTCATTCACCAATATGTCGATTTGTCAGAAATATTCCATGCGGTAATGTACCTATTGGCGTTGATCCTAATTCGATACCCGTACCAAGCCCTCGTGGATACGACGTTTGTGGAATACATGAAATAGGAAGTCAGCCGCCAAATGCATATAGTGAAAACTTATCCAATCTACTGTTTCCTACAGACGCCAGGCTGAAATCTTTAGGAGTTCAAAGACTGAAGCAACCAATATATCCAAAATATGCTAACTTAGAATTGAGAGTACTTTCTTTCGATATATGGCCTAAACCAATGATAGATATTAAGCAATTAGCAGAAGCTGGTTTTTTCTATACGGGAGAACAAGATCAAACATTGTGTTTTCACTGCGGTGTAGGTTTAAAAGATTGGGAACCAAATGACGATCCGTGGTATGAACATTTTAAATGGTTTGTTAAATGTCATTTTCTTTTAATGTTCAAAGGTAAAGAATATGCAGATGTAGAAGGACAATTTATAAAGTTATCGAAGGTAATTCAATTTTTTTTTCTTTGTCTCTGACGCATGTATCAAGTACCTTTTCCTTGATATAAAATTGAAAAATTTATTTTAACTATATTTTATATTTTACGTAAAAAATATTTAATTTAAACTGTTTCTTTTTTTTATTAAGGAAACGAAACCAGCTTCATTAGAGGAGATTTTCGATGATATAAACCTTGAAAGCAATTGTGGTTCAAATACTGTAAAAAATAATATTGAAGAAAATTCAAATTTGGCTAGCTCTGCAGTTGCAAAAAAACATGAATTAAGTAAGCCTATGGATGATGCAAGACTATGTAAAATCTGTTACAATGCTGAATTGCAAGTTGTATTTTTACCCTGCAAACATATGTGCGCGTGTGTAAATTGCGCAACTTTAATAACTAAATGTGCAGTTTGCCGAAAACCAATAGAACTAGTTGTTCGCGCAATATTAACATAAGACAAATAAGTATTAAATATTATTATTAATTTTAAAGAAAATATAATTATATATATATATATATATATATATAATAATAAAACAATATTTTGTTAATGATAGTATTAAAAACTTTTTCTACCATCCTCCAACTGCGAACATCGTGAAATTTGATCCGGAAAGTTCTGTCCATTTTTGAATTGAAAGAAAATAACAAAATTTTCATACATTTAATAATATTTATTGTAGAATATTTTTTCCATCGTTACTTATGACTTCTTGCCAGCGTGATAGCAACTTTTAAGTGCCATTTTTTTTAAATAATTTTTTTTTAGAGGCCAGAAACTCAACTAGTGCTTGATTTACATCATCTTTAATTTTGAATTTTTTTTCCAGTAAAAAATTTTGCAACGAGAAAAACAAGTGATAATCAAAGGGTGCAAGGTCTGGAATATTTATAACTTCTTTTATTTTTTACTTTTTGAAAAAAATCCATAGCATGTCTTGTCTAGTTAAAAATTATTACGTGGTATAAGTGATAGTTTCGACAAAGTCAACATAGCTAACAATATTTGGTGTGGTATGATTTACAAGTATTTTATTTTTTTTCTGGTCTCAATGTTTTTGCCCTGTTTGATTTATAATTTTATATTTTAGTTTTTACTTTATCATTTGTATATTTATCCCCATAAATATCAAGACATTCAAGGAATATCAATTTAGTAGACAAAATAAATAATATCGATGATGTTCGTTCGAAAGATGACCAAAAAGTTTCCGATATTGATAATGATATAGTAGAAATTATTAAGATATTTAGACGAAGAGAATATTTTGAATATACGAAGAGGACAAAAAAGAAAGAGATTTATAGTTAGTTTTGAAAGTTTAACAAAATTCGGTGTAGATGTAACCGATCAAATGGCCAGAAAATATGGTGTGAAATCTAAATGTCATAGATGGTCTTTACAGATATTTTTCAATATCTTAGATTTAGCTAAAATAAATGCTTGGACTTTATATATAGTAACGACAAGTGAAGAAATATCAAGGCAAGAATTTTTATTCTCATTAGCAGAAGAGCTGGGGACTGACTATCAGAAGAAGAGACAGCTAAGCAAAGAATGTTCAACAAAATCAATAATAAATACAGCTACAGACTCTTCTGGACAGAAATTTTGTCATATAAGATATTGTAAAGTCAATAAGACTAACAAAATTTGTATAAAATGTAAAAAAAACGTATATGGACAATGTGCAATACATAATGCTGTAATTGATAAAAAACTGCAGAAATAAAAACTTCTAAATAGAACAGCGGGAAGCGGGGGGTGTCTTTGTAGCACCAGAAAAATATTTTTTATAATATCCAATTGGCAAAAATCTCTTTTAATATTAAGATACATATGTTTGTTTCATGGTAGGAATAGACATACATGAAATGTCGGTAGGTTTAGTGTTAAAGATCTTTCAAAATCAGCTGTCTTTCAGTGTTGCCAACTTTATCAATGATATTAAAGAAAATACCGCGTATATTAAGCTGCTCCTAATTAAAAAATACATACATACATAAATAGTGTGCTAATATTTAAATATTAATAAAACAACAAGTATTATAAGATCAAATAAATGTAGTGAATAAATGAATGGAATTGTTTTTTAAAAAAAAATGCAATGATTTTTGAAGTAATTTGTTAGTGGTAGACTGTATGGTGCACGTACGCGTCACACACATGCATAGGCGTATCCGTGATAAATGAGAATTTGTAAAAATGTCTTGCTATGATCGAAGAAGAAGAATGGCAGAAGAGTGATAATTAGCGCTTATCGATTGTGTACATAAATGGCGGCGCCACTGAACGTTCAGTGTAGCAACTCATCTCGTTGTTCATTACGTTCGTATCACGTCGTCGTGTCGTTGCCGTCGTCGTGTACATCATCATCGTCGTCATCGTGTCGTTGTGTTGTCGTTGTCGTTGTCGTGGTCGTCGTGTGTCGTCGTGGCTGTTGTTCTTTGTCGTGTGTGTCGTGTGAAAGCTTATTCTTATATATTATAAAATGCCTCCGAATTCGGACGATGGCGTGAAAATGGCGGAATAAAATGGCAGGACGTAGATCAACTTTAAGCAATGTTGAATCCTTATCGGGATCAGGTAATGCTGATCCTTTAAGAGAGCTATTCGAAGCTTGCAAAACTGGCGATCTTAGCAGAGTTAAGGCGTTGGTTACACCAAAGACAGTCAATGCACGAGATACCGCTGGACGCAAGGCAACTCCACTGCACTTTGCAGCTGGTGAGCTCCATATCTTGCACAAATGAATATGAATGACCCTTTCTTTTTATAATTTACTTTTTTAAAGAATAACAACCATCGAGAAATATTGTACACAAAAAAATCTTCATATGATTTATCATTAAACTTTTTATGCTTTTTTTTTTATATTATAATTGTATTCATTGTTTTTGTTTTTTTTCTCTTTTTTTTTTTGTTGCTTTTCTATGCTAATTCTATTTTTACAGTAAGCACATTTCATAAGGGATGATTGTTAGGAAAAAAAATCCATTGAGCTTTTCATACATTTGTATATGAAAATATAAAATATATTTAGTTTCTCTATTTTTTAATTTTGTTATTCTAATTTTAATTTTATGTTGTCTAGGCTATGGCAGAATAGACGTCGTTGAATTTCTTCTCTCTGCTGGTGCATCCATTCAAGCACGTGACGATGGAGGTTTACATCCTCTGCACAATGCATGCTCATTTGGACATTCCGATGTCGTGAGATTGCTTTTGGAAGCGGGAGCTAATCCTAACACAAGGGATAATTGGAATTATACACCATTACATGAAGCTGCCATTAAGGTGTGTTTTTTAATATAATTCATTTATAATTGAATGGAGGAAGTAAAGTTATAGATGATAGTTACAATAATATTATTTTCTTTTTAAGGGTAAGATAGACGTATGCATAGTGCTATTGCAACATGGGGCCGATGCAAATATTAGAAATGCAGAAGGAAAGACTGCACTGGAATTAGCAGATGCTGCTACCAAGCCAGTTTTAACAGGAGAATATAGGAAAGATGAACTTTTAGAAGCAGCAAGATCAGGAAACGAGGAAAGATTGTTACAACTTTTAAATCCTCTTAACGTTAATTGTCATGCTAGCGATGGACGAAGATCTACGCCTTTGCATTTAGCAGCTGGATATAATAGATCTAGAGTTGTACAAATTCTTCTTCAAAATGGTGCAGATGTACATGCAAAGGATAAAGGGTAAGTGGCAAAGATTAAATAATTGAAGTTTATGTTTAACTATATTTAGAAATAAATACACAGATATTTATTCGACAGAGGACTTGTTCCATTGCACAACGCTTGTTCTTATGGACATTTCGAAGTAACGGAAGCGCTTCTTAAGCATGGAGCTGCTGTGAATGCCAGTGATTTATGGGCATTCACTCCATTGCATGAAGCTGCTAGCAAGTCTAGAGCAGAAGTTTGTTCTTTACTTTTAAGCGAGGGTGCAGATCCGACTCAATTAAATTGCCACAGTAAAAGCGCTATTGATGTAGCACCAACCGTAGAATTACAAGAAAGATTAGCGTGTAAGTATAATATTGTATTATATATTATATATTTAAAATGGAATATGTATTTATTTCATTTTTCATTTCAGACGAATATAAAGGCCATTGTTTATTGGATGCCTGCAGGCAGGCTGATCCAACTAAATTAAAAAAATATTTATCTCAGGATGTTGTCAATTTTAAACATCCGTATACCGGAGATACGCCACTGCATTGTGCAGTCGCATCGCCTTATCCAAAACGAAAACAAATAATCGAAATTTTAATTAGAAAAAATGCTGCCATGAATGAGAAAAATAAAGACTTCCTTACGCCACTTCATGTAGCTACCGACCATTCGCATTACGATGCAATGGATATATTACTTAGACATAATGCTAAAGTAAATGAATTAGATGGCTTAAGACAAACTGCATTGCACAGGTAATGTTAATCGTTAGGAAATCTGAAGATTAATCAAACCGAATAATACCAAGTTCGTCAAACTAAAAACGTATCCATGTACTTAGGTGCGTTAGAGAGGACGATGTACAGGCATGTAGAATATTGTTATCATACAACATCAATCCTTCCATTGTATCTCTTCAAGGCTATACTGCGGCGCAAGTCGCAGCGGAAAATGTTCTTAAAATATTGCAAGGTAAAGTATTTTTTTGGAAATATTTTAAATATTTTCATTTTTAATTTAATTAAAATATAACTCTATACATATGCATTGCGTATATGTGTGCATGTGTATATTCAGATCCAGAAAGTGAAACAGACGATGCAGAAGCGCAGCTTTTGGAAGCGAGTAAATCTGGCGACTTGAATGCTGTGAAAAGAATCCTACAAACGAATCCACATGCCGTAAATTGTCGTGATTTAGATGGTCGACACTCTACTCCTCTGCATTTTGCAGCAGGTTTTAATAGAGTGCCCGTAGTCGAATACCTTTTGGCACATGGTGCGGATGTGCATGCCAAAGATAAAGGGTATATATATACATATATATATATATATATATACATACGAAATATATATATCATTTTCTAAAATCCAAGCTTAATTTAACTTGATTCTAATGCATAAAGTATAATTCTATGCCAATTATTAATCCATATATAATTGAAATATAATTTTTCATAGTGGTTTGGTGCCTCTTCACAATGCTTGTTCTTATGGTCACTATGAAGTAATAGAATTGTTAATCAAACATGGGGCATCTGTTAATGTCGCCGATTTGTGGAAATTTACTCCCCTTCATGAGGCCGCAGCTAAAGGTAAATGTGAAATCGTTCGATTGTTATTAAAACACGGCGCTGATGCAACGAAAAAAAATCGAGACGGAGCAACTCCTCTTGATTTAGTAAGAGAAGGAGACCAAGATGTTGCAGATTTATTGTGTGGAAATAGTGCACTTTTGGATGCTGCAAAGAAGGGAAATCTAGCTAGGGTGCAAAGGCTGGTTACGCAAGATAACATCAATTGCAGAGATACCCAAGGTCGGAACAGTACACCATTACATTTTGCAGGTAGGTCTTCTAACCATTTTCTTCTTGTAATATTCTTTTTTTTTTAAATTCATGTAAATCAATGAAGATTATAGAAGAGAAAAAAAAAGAAAAGAAAAAGAAAGGATCTTCAACTGTGTAATATATTTTTGTTAAAACTTTGATTATATAGCGGGTTATAACAACTTAGAAGTAGCCGAATTTTTGTTAGAAAAAGGAGCGGATGTAAACGCACAAGATAAGGGTGGCTTAATACCTTTACATAATGCTTCAAGCTATGGACATTTGGATATAGCGGCATTACTTATTAAATATAATACGATAGTAAATGCAACTGACAAATGGGGCTTTACACCACTTCACGAAGCTGCACAAAAAGGAAGAACACAATTGTGTGCTCTTTTGTTAGCACACGGTGCCGATCCTTTCCTTAAAAATCAAGAAGGACAAAGTCCGGTAGATTTAGCAAGTGCGGATGATGTACGTTGTTTGTTGCAAGATGCTATGGCTTCTCAGCAAGTAGTACCGTCCGTACCATCGGGTAATAATGGCGTTGGTCTTGGGATTAACATGAATGGTAATGGTGGTAGTACTATTAATAGTAGACCACCTAGTATTGTTGCCGGTAATTAATATATACCATACATATACGTTACAATTATTTTGTAAACGACTCTATTTATATATTATTATTATTATTATTATTATTATTATTATTATTATTATTATTATTATTATTATTATTAATATTTTTGATTTTTATTTTTTTTCAGTACCAGTAACTCCACCACCGCCACTTACACAAGAAACAGTTATCATGCCTTCCGGAGCTGCAATGACTTTATGTGTTCCGTTAGCTCGACCGTCTTCATGTCTAAGTCCAATGCCACCATCCGAATCGAATTCTGAAAGAGAATCTAAAGATATGTGTAAAGAAAATAATAGTTCAAACATTACGACCGTAGCAGGCTTCCTTCAAAGTCTTGGATTAGAACACTTACTCGAATTATTTGAAAGGGAACGTATTACGTTGGATATATTAGCGGAAATGTGTCACGAAGATTTGAAACAAGTTGGCGTAACAGCTTATGGATATAGACATAAACTTATTAAGGGGATGGAGAAATTATTAACTACTGCCACAGGCACTCTATGGCAACCGTCCATTACTCCTGGAACATTGTTAGTTGATTTGTTAGCTGAAGATAAAGAATTTTTGGCTGTGGAAGAAGAAATGCAAAGTACCATTAGACAACACAGAGATAATGGGCATGCTGGTGGTATTTTTTCACGATATAACATAGTTAGGGTATGTATGCTATAAAAATATAAATCAAAATGAATTTAACTTATAAAAAAAATAAACTAATTTCGATTGTAACTAAAAGTAATTTGTGTTATTCAGATACAAAAGGTTCAAAACCGAAAATTATGGGAACGCTACGCTCATAGAAGACAAGAAGTAGCAGAAGAAGTTGGAGCAGCTGCTCCAGCATCGCCTGGGACAGGTCCAAGGTCTGCACCAAGTTCTGCAGTTCCACAAGCTAATGAAAGAATGTTGTTCCATGGTAGTCCCTTCATCAATGCAATTGTACAGAAAGGTTTCGACGAAAGGCATGCGTATATTGGTGGTATGTTCGGTGCTGGAATATATTTTGCAGAACACAGTAGTAAAAGCAATCAATATGTATATGGTATTTGTGGAGGTACTGGATGTCCTTCTCATAAAGATAGAAGTTGTTACATCTGTCACAGGTTAATATTCTTATTTATTCAAAAGAAATAGGAGGAAGATAGAAATGTTATAAAAATATTAATTTTTATTTTTTATTCGTTCAGGCATTTATTACTTTGTCGAGTTACCTTGGGTAAATCGTTCCTACAATTTTCTGCAATGAAGATGGCTCACGCACCACCTGGTCATCACAGTGTAATGGGTAGACCATCGCAAGGTGGTTTAGCTTTCCCCGAATATGTAGTGTATAGAGGAGAACAAGCATACCCCGAATACTTAATAACATACCAAATTGCAAGACCTCAACAAGAAAGTGGTGGTAGTGAAAGTGTTGAGGAACGGTGATCAGAAGAGCCAGGCCCTGTAGCAAGATTTCGAAGTTTATGTTGCTGCCAGAGACCAAGAACACACGGTACCTTGTCTTAGAATTGATTATGATTTTTGTTTTTCATTATATTATCGCTCGTCAACTTTATTTCATTTAATCAATGATCTTATCTACAATTAACCAACATTCAAATGACTATAAGAACTGATACAGGCATTTAATTTTCTCATCATACTTTAGTTATTACGATACATATAAATATAAATATTAATTAAATTCAAATGTGTGTATATATTGAGAATTTACATCAGAACAGATGTAGGTTTGCGACGGTATTATAATCAACAACTTTATTCTTTATTCGTATGCATATTTTAATGGGGTGTTTTATTTCCGACCAAAAGTATTATTTTGATAATGAATAATATCAGAACTATAAGATAATAAGTAAAATTTGTATATTTTACAAAGTTATTTTAACTATATTTTTTTCTGTGCGGAAATAATCTATGCATCAAACAAATTCGATATCCATTACCCTGTATATGCAAAATAAAAAAGCATATTATGATTTCTATACATAAATACATATATATATATATATATATATATATATATATATGAAAATGATTATATATATATATTATTATTATTATTATGAATATAATAAATGTATTTATATATATGCATTCTCTAAAAGCCATACAAATATTCTATTTTTCTTTCTTGCGAAAGGGTTTCTCTTCAAATCTTTTTACTTTTGATATCGAAATTATAATTTAATATAATTACTTGGGATAAATTATTATTTAACCAACAAAATATTTAAATCCTTCTATTTATATAATATTAATTTATCTAAAAATCTATTAAATATTATATATGTCTGTTCTCTTGTGACACAGTATCTCAGTCCACATTGTGAATTGTAAATAAAATTCACCACGTTTCATCTAATTTTAAATACTAGAACTATAAAAAAGAAAATATTATTTTTTCTTTCTTAGTATTATTATTTATTATATAATGTTTTTTTTATATACATATGCATTTAATTAATTAATTAATCGAAAATTTGTTTAAGCATCGTCGTAGTCGTTTTAGCGTATGTTTGTTAAACAAAATATAAACAATTGAAACTTCAGTTTAAAATCGATCGAGACGAGTTGATTCCTCTACTTTAACTAACACATAGCTTTGTAAATATATTAATCAATTTTTATCTTTTTTTATTTTTTAGAGAAAGGATGAAATAAATAATTAAATAATAGAATTTTAAGATGGTAGGAAAAAGGAATTATCGTCTTTTTAAAAAGTGGAAAAGAAAAGAAAAAAGAAAAAAAATGAGATATAATAATAATCCTAGTAATGGAATTGAGATACTTATATGTCAATATAATTCTATTTAATTAATAGCACACAAAATAAATCTATTTATTATTATTATTATTATTATTATTATTATTTTATATAAAAATTCGAAAGTGTATTGTGAAAAAATAAGGTAGTTTTATTTAAAATGAATTGTTTATAGTTAACAAAATTCCACTTTACAATGTGTGATACCAATAATATGAGGATTAATCATTTAATGAATGGGTTGTGATCGCGAAGCCTGCTTTTTTGTGTGTTCAATACGATTTGAAATTCCCGCCATTGAAAACTTCCTCTGATCTCACAACACACAACATATTGAAAGTTTATTCGTGTGTAATACTACTACTCTACTATTACTATTACACTACTACTACTCTACTATTACTATTACACTATTACTACTACTACTATTACTACTACTGACTACTACTACTACTACTACTACTACTACTATTTCTGTATATATTTAAGAAGTGTCTGAAAATTGGTGAAAGTCTCTATAAGTATATATATACACACACAAAACACCATATAAAATAAAAATAAAAAAGAACAGACAGTTCAACGTTGTATATTATAGGAAAAAAAAAATAAGTTTGTGTATACGCGCATTAACACATGTATTACACGTCGAGCAACAAACATATTTTTGTTGTAATTAGTTCTATCTTTTTGATAGCTTCCTTTTAGGTGACGGTGATATTTTTATTATTTCTCTCTACAAATGTATATATATATAAGTATGCAGAGTGTCCGAGATTTTTTCGGTCAAACGGTGTCGAAGTATTCTATATGTAAAAAAATGTTATACGAATAATAGGTCATTTGCAGTTTTTTTTATTAAAAAACTATGATATAAATTATAAATATGTTCACATTTATTCAGCAACAGGATTGTCCTTAAATTTCTACTCAATTATGTTTACCTTTGCTTATGCTTATCGCATTATCCTGGTGCAGGAATGCATTTAAAATGTAATTGCAGAAATAAAACTAAATCGTCAAAAAATTCAGCATTTTACAAACAGTGCTCTTCAGCAAGTGCAGGCTTGCATTCGCATAATCGGTCAGCCTACTTTAAATGAGAAATTAGGTGATTTACAATTTGTGTGTATCTAAATTTTTAATAAAGCATCAAATAGAATATTATTTTCTTATTTTTATTCGTAGAAGATATTGATACTGTTTGGCCGGAAAAATCTATCAAACACCTTACATAGAAATTTCATTTGCTAAATGCACGATTAAAATCGGCCCGGTGAAAAGTCCAATGAAATTTCTATCGAATTATTTCGTTTGTAAATTTCGATTGATTTTTTTTAAGTAAAACGATCAAATACCGAAAATATCCATGTAATATTTTCTTTCGACTAATTTCTTTTTTTTTTTAAATTATAAATAATATCGAGAAAACAAGCATAAGTTTCTTTCTTTCTTCGCGAATTTTCTTCTCGAGAAACGCAATGATTTATAAATGAAGAGTGAAAATTAGCGAATGTTTCATTTATAATTCGAATCATTTAAATCAATCCAATTAAATAATAATAATTTATATCTCTAATCGTTTCTTACGTAAAAGAAAAATTCACGAAAGAAGAACGAATGTTTTCTAATTTACGTTATTATCGATACTAATTAACAAAAAATCTATGATGGAAAAAAAAGGAACAGTTTTGCAGATCACTTTCTCTAGGTTCGAAGTGTTTCACATCTGACACACATTATATTCCTAAATAAAATAATGAGACCTGTGAATATTCAGAAGTTGAAAAAATAGTTTCGAGAGAAACCAAATTTTAATATTACGTTATATTATAATTTCCCTTTTTTTCGTGACACAATTATTCACGTACGAATATTCTTCTAATTTGAAACAAGATATGCGTTCTAGGTAAGAAGAGAGAGAGAGAGAGAGAGAGAGAGAGAGAGAGAGAGATAAAATATATCAATTTAATTTAATGTTTGATATAAACGCGAGGATTCATTTGATATTAAACAAAATACTTATTATTTTATTGTCGATAATTAAGACAGGAAAAAAAAATGATTAAACGAATGATCGAATAGTTTTCTATCCGTAAATCGTTTTCACTGATTGTATAAACGTACCATGTTCCTTGGCAATCGTTAAAATTGTTTGAGTAGGCTATCGCCTACGCACTAGAACACATTTTTGCAAGCTATTTCCTGTCTGTAAATAAGTCTCGTCAATAGTTGTATCTATTTTAGATAATAAAATTTCATTCATACATTTTTTCATTGAAATTTTCGGATGAACGTGTATACGCGTTTAAATTTATTCGATCGACGCTAAAATAATTGCGATTTTTTATTATTTTTTTTTTTTTTCTAGCCGACTATAAATCTATTGATAGTTATTTATTACAGAGTAAAAATAATATTATAATTTTAGCGAATACTATTATCATTATTATTAAATTTTGATCCTTAAAATGAATCACGGAAATGAACGAGATTCACATTCGCGCGATTTTATTGCTCTGAGTTTAATTTTGGACGTAAAGCAGCAGACATTGTTCGACATATAAACAATGTTTTTGGCTAAGAGACAATTAGCAAACGTTATTTCCAAAAAATTTCACGTTAGAAAATAATCTACATAAAACAATTCGAAAAGTTGTAGAATTTAAAATATCGATAATTTCTATGTTTTTAAATTGAATATATGGAAACCGCAATTATCTCAGAGTCAATCTAATAATACCAAAGAAATAACATTGTCACGATCAAGGACGATATCGTTTTAATCAGTATTGTATCGATGCATTTGTAATATTCATTGAAGTATAATTTTTCTACAGATATTCCGAAGTGAGGCGTATAAGTACGTCGTTAAAAATTTCTACATGCTTTGCAAATTAAGATGCAAAATACATGGTTACGATATTTATCTAATTAAGAATTCAACCTTATCGGGTTATTCGATAAAAATACCACAACTTTTGCATCGTAAATCCGACGATACGAAGAAATACTTCATAAATATTGCGCCATACGGACAATTCTGTAATACGATTGGACGATTTGAAATGGTTTTTCTTTTGTTTTGTTTCTTCTGTTTCTTTTTTTACCATTGCATTTGAGATTAACAATTTATTTGATTATATAAAGTCTAAAGATTAGTTATATATACATATATAGAGGAACATTTAATAAGAAAGTCAAAAGGAATCGCGAACTTTGATAATGGTCGTCGAACCGGATTGACTTTTGCAAGAGGATCGACTTGCTGTAGCTGAGAAAAGTGTATGCAAAGCCAGTACTTGACAGGCAGTTCAATATATATATATTATACATTCGTACACATGCACACAAGTATATCTTGTCCATGTATTCGGTAAATACCTGATTATCGATATGTCGTTCATAAAATGTAATGATATTAAGAAAATAATCTTCGTTGTTATACATTACGAAGAATATAATAATATTTTAAGAAAGAGTGGTACGATTTAATCAAAATCAAACCGTGTATATAAATACGTACACACGTATACACGGATAGATACACAAAATATGATGATGCAAGTATGACCGACATTTTTAAACTTACGAGATAAGGGCGTACGTAATTGATATTCGCAACGGACTCTCGTGCAAGATGCATTTTATTATAAGTAAACTTAAACGTGTGTTTATAATATTACCAGAAGGTATAATAATTACTTAGCACGCGACATATTAAAAAAAAAAAAAAAAAAAGAAAAAGATCAAATATTATTTACATAAATATACGTTAGAATGCGAGAAATAAATTGGCGGGAGAGAGAGAGAGAGAGGKAGGTGTCCTAAGGCGTCTTCTTTACCGAAGGTACAAAAATTCTAAGGAAGAAATAACAACGCCTCGTTAAAATAAAATTCATGACCAAGTATAATAATGCATATATATAAAGTACATCATTGTAAAATGTAGTTTTTCTTTTTTTTTTTTTTTTTTCCCTTTTTGATTTATAATCATATAATTTTGAAATTGGCATTAGGTAGTCAGTTCGTGATATATTCTTGAAAATCATTTCTGTTGCCAACAGCAGCAGCAGCAGCAACAGCAACAGCGAGGTAGTAGCAGTAACAGGGACAGAAGAGAACATTTGAACAGAGAAGAGTAGAGCAAAGTAGCAAGAATGCAAGAAGCACGTGGATATGGGAGCGATTTGATTGGTCGAAGGAGAGCAATCACGTGAAACGCACGAGGTTGCCGGGTGGAGCATGCGCACTACCCACGCCGGTTCGATATCTCGCGGTGCGCACTCACTGTTAGAGGAAACTCCTCGCGAACTGTACGATTGAAGGAGCGGTGCGTGGTGTTGTTGCTGCTCCTGCTGCTGCTGCTAGTGGTGTTGCTGGTGGTGGTGGTGGTGGTGGTGATGGTGGTGGTGGTGGTAGTGCTAGTAGTGGAGGGATGAAGCATAGAAGTAGCGTGTCGAGATAAAACTCGTTTCGATTGTCAAAGCAGACGTTAAGCGAACGTGGAGAGGATCGCATTCCCGCGAATATTGCCGTTTTATATTTCGGTACTCGCGTTTAACATAAAACACAATCTATCTCTCTCACGCACACACACACACTAATATATCCAACCACAAATTTTTAACAGATATCCGTTTCAAGATTAACACCGTGGTACAATTATTTTGAAGGTACGAGTATTACTCGTAATGCTGAACCCGTTCCGAATAAAAAAAACGTCGAGGTCGTATAAGTCCTTCGTCGATACGTGAAATTCGTACGACTATGAGAGGAAACGATAGTAATAATAATAATAATAATAATAATAATAATAATAATAAATAAATAAATAAATAAAAAGAAGAAGAAGAATAAATGATACGACCATTGATCTAATTACTCTGTCAAATCCCTCGTTAAATTATTTCAAAATATTATTTTTAATTCTCTCGCAGAAGGTACGAAAGAAGAATAAAGAAAAAAAAATACGACAAACGGCACAATTCATGTCTTTATCGTGCGTAAAATACGAAAACAACACATATCCTTCGAGAGAAAAAAAACAATTGTCAATTTTCTAAGAGAATTATTGTCGTTATTTATATATAAAAGAAATTTTTAATAATTACCTCGACGTTGTTCGCTGGGTTCAAAACTCGACAAAAATACGAGAAAGCGTGGGAAAATAAGACTACGCGAGTTCGTGAGTGCGTCAAGAGGAAAAAGGAAAAAAAGAGAAAAAAAAAATATTGGAGTAGACACACGTTTTACTGCCAGGAGAAAAGAAGAAGAAGATATCAATACGATATAATTTTTGTAACCAACTATCCACCCTCTTTGTCCCTTCAACGGCCCTTTGGCTGCACCGATCTCACTTAACGTAAAGAAATACGTAAGTAATCTTGACGAAATTTTTAAAAAGGGTCTAACCTGTTTCTATTTTCTTTTTTTCTTTTTTTTTTTTTCTTTCTTTCATTCTTTCTATATACACGTTTCTTTCAATAACTTCAAAGTACCTATTTATTTTAACCTATGTATATATAAAAGCTTTTAGAGAGGGGAACGGTACATAGAAAAACGTATAAAATTATTTCGAGTTTAAAGGGTGGTACACTTCCTTTCCTTTTCAACCCCTCAGTCGATCGAACATCTTGCGTAACAGGAATTACTATGGATTATACTGTGCGACACATTTTATTTTCTAATATCATCTCTTATTTTTCCTTATAAAATTTATATATAAATTTAAATATATATATATATATTTAATCTTATTTATTTATTATTATTTTCAGCAGATCGCATATAATTAGTTAATTTGTTATTTTCTAATCGATTTATTATACGTAATAAAGAATTTTAATTAATATATCACATATGGTACATTGAATTTCAATAATTTTTCTCGAAATATGTTTATTTCTCTATCGTATGCATGTACTTCATTATAAGATTAAAATGCAATGCTAAGCAAGCGTAAAGATGGCGACATAACGTGTAATAAATGTCTCAGACGAGAAGTAACACCATGACTTTCTTAATAAAACGTGTCATGGGGTATTAACTTTAAGTCATGATCATTAAGTGCATAACAAATTTATTCGAATCGTTAAGGTTTCTTTGATGTTATTTTTAATAAGAAAAAAGTTCATATTTAGTTAGAAGATAGGCGTTTAGTATCGTTTACTAATACCTATATACGCACATTTATTACATAAAGATTTATGAAATATAATTGAGAGAATCCAAAAGATAATGTTTTCTTTCTAAATACGTTGGTATATATTGCATCATAAATATTATAATTGATTTATTAATTATATCGGTATGAGAGAATTTCAAAGTTTCCATACTTCTTTTTCATCTGTAATATAATAATTAATTTTATAAATATCATTTGTGCGCGCGCACAAATTTCAATACGGGTCTTTAATAAATATGAACAAAATTGTACAATTGTCGTAAACGATGATTGATATTATATCTGAAATTATTTAAAAACAAAAAAAAAAACAAAACAAAACAAAAATGTGAAATTTTAATTAGAAATTAGCAAATTGATTATTATGAACGATTCGAATATTCTTTCAAGGCCTTTAGCCCTCGTTTCTTCCTTTATTGTCAGACCAGATATACACACATACAGTTGAGAGAACAAAGTACGTTACAAATCTCTCTCTTTCTCTCTTTCCCTTCCTCTAAGAGAGAAAGAGATCATAAATAATCATTTGACCCAGTAGCCTTCAACAGTACAGTACAGATGGTTCCATCCTTGCCATCCTCGTCGAAGATCCGACCAGTTCATTTTTAGGATCTCACCACACGAATATAAATCTTTTAACGCTTACGTCTATACGATCGTTGGTTGGCGAATTCGTTTTATGTTACCAAGGCTATTTTCAATTGTTATTTTATTTATTTTGTTATTTTTTTCTCGCTGAAAAGTGATTACAAAATTTGGTATCTCGATCATTTAATATATTTGTTTATTTATTTTTACGAATACACACACACACACACACCAATTCTTGATGTTTGATCCTAAGAGACATCATTTTTATTTGATTTTTTTATTTATGCGTATACTTTCTTTTATTTTTTCGGTGTTATAAAATTATTATAAAATTATATACCAGGAGATAAGAAGTAATAAGTCTACTCTAACGGTACAAGAGAGTTAAATTTCAATATCTTTTACACAATTTGAAGTACCTTCTAAACCAGAATAACGGTACTCCCCTCGTCATCTTCATCATCCTCGTCGTCGTCTTCGTCGTCGTCGTCGTTGTCGTCGTTGTCGATGAAAATTGTGTGTAATAGACTTATAACGTAAATACATCCATCGAGGCTAGAAATCGAGAATGAAAACAAGACAATTTCCATTAATTATAGTTTGTTACAGATACTATAGTTTAATTCGAAACAAGACAATTTCCATTAATTATAGTATGATTTTTTTCTTAAACGATAACAAACAGGGTTTTCCTTCTTTTTATTTCTTTTTTTTTTTTTTTTTCAGATTACCTCGATACGATGATGATTGATATGACCGATCGGAAACTTTTATCGTAATAAAATAAATTCGTCGAATCTGAGATATTTTATCACGCGCATAGTTATTTATAGTTTCTACGTTAACCCTTTTTTTTTCTTTTTCTTTTTTTTCATTCCAATTGTAGGCCAACTCGTGTATCGCGTAACAAATCAAAATTGTCAAAGAGAAATCGATAAAGGCAAATACAATTTGGAATATTTGCATTAGCTTTCAACACATATACCTATATATACCATATATATAATTATATAAATAATACATACGCGTGTACGATTTATTCTTGAGCGTGAAACGGTGAGAATTATGAAGAGATTTAAATTAGAATTATTTCCTTGGCATTTAATATAATATATTCGAAAGAGACAAAAGTCGTTAGTATTTATAAACATTACTAATGTAATCTAGTATGTCTCACGAAGCAAACGCGTATCATTGTATTTTGAAATTTGGAATATTTCGTTCTGCGAGGTGTTCGTTATTTTTACATGAAAATCATTCTTTCGGAAAGTGTTCGTTGTCCAATTTCTTCTTCAATGGATCTCACCCACCACGGTATATTAAGTTTATCAAGAATTATTTCCAAAATTTTTTAATATCCACGGTGTTACAACACCTATTTCAATTTGATTTGTGTTACGTCACTCGCTCGAACTAAAGTCCGCCTAATTCTATTCGCATCTTTTTTTTTTCCCCCTTTGCACATTGTCGCAGTTTAAACATAAGATATTTTAGCGACGCAACTTCTGCGTTTGCACAGGGATTTACATATTTAGATTTATGAAAGAAGTGTAAAAGTATACGAGAGAGAAAGAGAGAGAGAGAGAGAGAGAAACGTGATTCTTTAGCGAATCGTGAAAATGTATACTCGACGATGATTCCAACTAACGGCGTATGTTTACATTTATCTTCACGTACATACAAATATACATAGATTACACGCACATAATTACATACACATTTATCTATTATACACATAAAAGAGGAAATAGAGAGAAAGAGAGAACGCATAGAACAAAAAGATAGACAAAGTTGTATCTCTATCTTCTACTTGACGTGATGGAGATGAAAGACGGACATTTTTTATACAATATACTCTCGCATTATAATATTATGTTAGTTCTTTTTATAGAAACTTTAATGTGCACTTTGACAGATTTGTTAATTCGTAAATCCTTCGGGATATGCCAGAAAAGGATATGCAAATTTAGTCAAGAGTAAGTACACACATATATAGATAGATAGAAATAAATATAAAGAGAAATAATAGAAATAGAAATAAAAAGAGAGAGAGAGAGAGAGAGACAGTTTGTCTCGATTGGCACATCCAACTTTTCGTTATATAACTGTCTACTACTTTGTATGCAGTGGCGTTAACTTTCGACAGTATTCAAGTATTATACATGCATATGTATGAATGAATGTATGCAGTAAGAATGTGTCGCGTGAAAGTTACATATCGAGTACATAATAGATATACTATCGATCGATACGAAAAGAATCGACATTCTTTTTAAGGGTAGACGAGAATTCCAACCGGTTTTATTTTAATCTAACTAAATAATATCCGGAATATAAGAATAAAAATTCTTTTTTCTATACGCGATAGATTAAAAACGTTCGAACGTTTCATTTTATCTTCAAATAATTACATACACGCGTAATTACGCGAACATATACCTATTTATATTTATAGAACGTTTTTATTCGATGAACAAATTCCTTTTTCTAATGTAAGATCGTTGTTGGCCGTTGGTTGGTTGGATGTATCTACATAACTTCCGTGATTCGTTAGGGGGTGGAAGAATTATTCTAGATGATCTCTCTCTCTCTCTCTCTTTCTCTCTCTCTTTCCTTTTCTTTTTGTAGAAGTTACACGAGCGGAACCGAAGCTCTAGAAAGTACTTACTCCTCTCATTCCTATTATCTATTCGTTGTTTTCAAAGAGGCAACACATCTGCCTATCTATCGTGGTATGCAAATAAAGAAAATCAAGAGAAAAGGATAGATGAAAGAGAGAGAGAGAGAGAGAAAGAGATAGACATATATAGTAAGTGATTAATTGAAGAGAACACGCGTTATAATATTGTCTAATCTTTGATGTATTGCATCTTGTGGACGCAGAAGAAGAATGAGAATAAGAATAAGAATAAGAAATAGAAGGAAAGAAAAGTGTTATGATAAGGGTTGTAGTCGGCTCCTGACCTCGTGACAACGGAAACGTAAATAAATAAAGCTCGTTGTCCGTTAGTCGCCTTCAATGGATACGGTACGACGAGTATCACCGTGTAAGTTTAATTTTAGCTGGCATTCATGGGAGTGACGATAAAAAGGAAATTCTCCCTTTTCCTTTCTCTTTTTCACTCTCTCTCTCTCTCTCTCTCTCTCTCTTTCTTTTTCTTTCTTTCTTAACAAGTTTTATCATTTCGTGTATGCGTACATGTACATATGTTTGTATGCGGTATGTTAAAAGATCTTTGGATGGTGGTGGCTCGTACACGGAGGCTCGTTCTAATACGATTAACATAATTCACATTTGTAGATGTGGTTTTAAGATCGGACCGGTCGTTGGTGGTCTTCTCACAGTGCTCTCTTTCGTTTTTTTTATATGTATGTATAAATGTAATAAATATAATTCTCCGCGCGATAGAAAAATATAATATATTTTTGTTATTTTGTTAATCGATGAAAAAATATGCGTGTCGCTTATTAAAAGGATCGTGTAATATTTAATTACTGTTAAAATAATATCGATATCTTTATTACTTTTGTAGAAAACAACTTTGTAAGACCTTATTTGGACCCCACCGTGTATATAAATCTTTTCTTATTCTCAACCC